AGTCCCCGACCTCAGCGCCCCGGAGAGCGGCGCAGCCACCTGCACCCGGAAAACGCCAACAAGTAGTTTCCCGGCGGAGGAGGGCGGCTCAGCCCCGCGGCGTCCCCTCGGAAACCCAGGCAGAGCCACTTTTCCCTCGGTCTCCATAAGGTACCTGGGCGCGCGGCGCGGACGAAGGGGGCTTCCCGGGAAGGACAGGCCGACCCCGCGGGCGCGCACCCCAGCCCCCGGGCCGCGGGAAGGGGAGGCGAAGCGCGGGAGCGGCGGGGAGGTGAAGCGGGACTCCGCGGACGCAGCCCGCAGCGGGGGTGTGCCCGGCCTCGCCCCTCCTCGAAAGCACCCCCTCCTCCCCCAGGACCTTTGTTTTTCTTGGGCAGGGGGAGGGGTGGGATGCACTGCTCACTTCTCTTCTCAAAGATGGATCCTAGTGAGTCGGTTCCCTTCCCAAGTAATAATAACACCACCACCAACAATAACAGTAATGTGAAAAGGAAATTGGATGAGGAAATTAGTCAGAGGTCTCCTCGGTGGAAGGCAAGAGCCAGGGATTTTTTTTTTTTTTTTTTTCTTTTCTTTTCTTTTCTTTTCTCTGACTTCATTCTTTTGGTCGGGTCGGTGAGGGAGAGGAGAGGTGAGCCGAGCACAGGTTGCGCAAAGGGTACTCCCCGAGCGCCAGGAGCGGAGAGCAGTCCGGGCTTGGCCAAGGGTACGCGTGCTACCCAGGGGCTCTCCCTTTGCTCGGCCAAGTGGCCTTGGGCACTCCCTGCCTGAAGGAGATGCAGCCCGGCTGGGCAGGGAGAGGAAAGGGTCTGGGAGAGAGGAAGAGAGGGATACTTGGGGGGGAGTGATGGGGCCGAGAGGGGAGACGGGGGCTTAGAGGGGAGAGACTCGGGTTGGGGAGGAGCAGAGGGGCGCAGGGGCTGAGAGCAGGTTAGACGCGACCGGGGGCGGGAGGGCTGGTGAAGAGTGAAAAGATAAAGGAGGAGCGATCAGAGCAAGGGGAAGGTGTGAGGCCAGGGAAAGGACCCTGAGAGGTCAAGGAAGACTTGAGCTGCCCTTTTAGATCCTCGGAGCCTGGGAAGGTGTGATGCAAGAGGAGGGTTCAGAGCTGGGCGCTGATCTCCTGGGAGCGTCCGCGGCCGCTGCCCGTCTTGGGACTCTTGGGGTGGGGTGGGGGCGGGGGTCATGACGGCCGGACCTTTAACTTGGCGCTGTCTTCGCCTTCCCCCTAGTCATGTCTGAGCCACAGAGATGGGCAAGATCGAGAACAACGAGAGGGTGATCCTCAATGTCGGGGGCACCCGGCACGAGACCTACCGCAGCACCCTCAGGACCCTGCCCGGAACGCGCCTGGCCCTGCTCGCCGCCTCGGAGCCCCAGGGCGAGAGCCTGAGCGCGGCGGGGGACAAGCGACAGCCCCTGCCCCCGCCGCTGTCGCCC